GAAGACTGAGATCTCTGCAGAAATGCTCTCCTCTCCACTCTCAGATTTGTTGCAGGACTTCAGAGAATATCCAAGATGGAACAGTTTCAGGAGGGTAACTGCACTTCTCACAGGGAGACTTCTTAACTCTTCATCTTGTATTGCAAAAGTGGGTTTGGTTTGGTTTTGGGACACTCTTTCTCCACCCTGTAATTCTGGGTGACCTCTGCTCTGTCTCAGGAAACAAGAGTGCTGGAACAAGTGGGTGCATTCACCTGACTGCCTGGGAGGATAAGAATACAGCCTGGCCTGTTCAGCCTTCAGAATGAAAACCAAGAGGGATCCTGATGCCACTTACTGAACTGGAAAACTCCAGAGAGAGGGCAATGCAGCAATAGCACAGGAACTAATTAATAAACTGGCCAAGAAAAAATGCTGGGTTAGAAAGCTGGGAAGGTTCTTGGCTGCCCAAGTGCTCATGTTCTGGAGAAACCAGTAGGGACAAACAAGTGAACCAGACTGGGATGGAGTTTGCAGAGTTTGCCACAGGGATCACCTGTGACAGTCAGGGACTGCCCCTGCCAGCCCTCCTTGTCCCAGCTCCTCTTTTCTGTGCTTCAGAACACAGAAAAAAAGCAAAAGCTTGAAAAGGTGGAAAAGCAAAACCCAGCAGAGCTGCAGTGCATGCTACTGTAGCGTAGGCAAATACCTAGGTAGGCAAAGGCCCATTTTCTGTGGTTTCTTTAGGAGTATTAGTCCCTTTAATTATTGGTAAGATTAAGGATCCTAGTTGGCCAGACTAGCTTCACCTGTTAGAGGAGAGAGCCACAGAGAACAGCCCAGTGCTTGGAAGAGTAATTCATAATCTCAAGGAAGGTTCTGGAAGCAAGGAGCACATGTGTGCAAGCAGTACTTCAAAAATTCTCCCAGAAGGTGAAAAATGAACATATATATCTCCAAAGAATCATTAAATTTTATGAAAGCAAGGCTAGAAAGGATATTAAAGAGTCACCCATCCCTTCTGCAGCTCCAAGAGCACAGCAGGTCAGGGGTATCTGCCCTGTTCACACAGATGTTGATCCAGCCTGCTTTGAAAGTGCTCCAGATATGTTGATTTCCAAGGCAACCTATCCCAGTGCTTCAGTAATACCATTCTAACAGCTACAAGTGGTTTTGGTAATACTTAATTTAAAAAAAAAATGTCCCTGCTGCAATTTTAGCCTGTTATTCTTATCCTCTCCACGTGGGAGAGAAGAGATTATTTCCTTCCTCTTTGCTACAGTTGTTTACATTTTTGAGGACTGTTATCATGTCTCTGTTCAGTCTTCTCTGTATTTAAGAAAACAGAAATTCTTTTGCTGTCTCCTCATAGGTTATATTTCATAGGTCTCTGAGTGCTGGTGCTGCTATCTGAACTCTTTCCTGCTAAATTATCAGAGAGTTTTGGGCTGTTGGGAGTCTGCATTAACACAGGTGAAAATGGTCATGGGGGGTGCAAGTGGGAGAAATAATAGAGGAATAATCTTCTGTGTATTTGGATTGATAATGGGAGTCAGGGCCAGAGACTGTAATTTTTGTGGGGTCTGACTGAGTAGTAGTTTTCTGTTTGTCCTTGAGAGAAAAATCACTATTTTTCCCTCCAGAAGGCCAGGACAGATTCCAGACAAGAAAAATTCTTTTAGCACTCTTCAACTTTTTAAAATATTGTGGCAAACCACAGTGAGAGTGAAAATAAAGGTGGGTCAGGTTGTAAGGAGCCCAAGGTCACCTCCTGAAGCTCAGGTAACTGACTATTGATGATTCCCAGAAATCCTAGCAGCCCTGACTTGCTTTGTCTGACAAAAGAAGGATGTGTCCCATTTGAAGAAGAGTTTTTAAGGGCTCAGTGTTCTTTCCTGGTTGCTAGACTATTGGATTTTTTTCTGCCTTAGTCAAAAATCTGCGCCTGGAATGCAGATTAAGAATATTAATTAACCCTGGCAGAAGATATCACTCCAGAAAGAGGGAGTTTAGTTTGACTACAGCCTGACTGGAAGTTTCTTGAGCTCTTTGAGGGCCTGAGTGGACAAATAACTCCCATGTCAACCCTTATCTCCAACAGGGGAAGGTGTGAGAGGTTAGAGAAGGGTTATGTGCATTCCAGCACACACCCCCTCTTTTTAGCAGCTCAGCCACAGCCTACAGAAATTACAGGTTGCTTCATGCTCTCTTTCTGTCTCCTTAGCTTGAGACAGACTGGTACCTGAATCTTTTTCAGCCCCAGTGGGTCAGGAGGCACAGAGGTGTGCCCCCCTCCACGCAGCCCCAGGTTCCTGGTCACTGCTAACATTGCCTGATCTTTTAGTGAGCCACACCACAGACTTCTGAGCTCTCCACTGATTATCACATAATTTTCCATTTTACTTCTACCCCTAAAACTTGCTGACACCTCAACTTCCTTGTGGATATTTCTACTGACTGCAGTGCTCATGGCCTTGGTCCCTATCTGAGTTTGGCCTCAGCAGTGTTTCCCAGCCTTGCAAGCCATTTTCCAGGGTAAATCTTGGAAAACTCAGCTAATTAAGAGTCCCTCTTATAACCTTCTTTAATTTTTTTTTTCCTGAAAGTCCCTGAATCTGGCCCTTGGGAACTGGGTAAAATAAAACTTCTCTCTTCCCCCTTTTTGGCTTGAACAAAGTCTTCCCTGGCTCTGACCCTGGCAGCAGATCTCCCCAGGAGCACATTCTCCATGCTGTGAGCAAATGCTCCCTGTGTGGCATTTCACCTGGATGACATTTAACCAAGGACCTAGAATTTGAAGCTGGAACAGAGCTGGGGTGCTCACAAAGACTAATTCCCATTATTCAGATCCCTCTGATGTGCTTCAGCTGGAGCTGAAAGCATTTTGAAAGCAGGAAGGGAATAAATCCTCTACAGTGAACAAATCCCAGTTCATGCTCCTTCTCTTGCACCCTCCTTCTTTCCAGGGCTCACCCCCATCTCTCCAGAGAGAACTGACCCAGCAGCCACCCAAAATCTGGAAATGGTGTTTCAATGGCAATCCCTTCTGCCACCTTTGTTTATCCCCATCCTGATGCCACACATTAAATGTAAAAGAAACCCTCAGCCTTGCTTACTCTGTCCCTTCCCCCACCTCTGCCCTCCTGACAAAGTTTCCAAATAAACCTTGAAAGCCACTATCAGTTGTAAAAGGTCTGATCAATGAAAGACACCGGAGTCAGTAACATGAAACCCTTGGCCTCGAGATCTCAGAGCTCCTTGCTGAACTGCAGCCTTTAAGGTCAGGCATTCTTGCTGCTGTTTGGCTCCATGTCCATTGAATGCAAGGGGCAGCCCTGAGCAGGTTATTCCTCTGTTTACAAAGCAAGCAGCTCACTGAATTCTGGCAACGCAGAGTTTAAAAGGCCATCCTCACCTAGAGGGACAAGGAGAAAAACAGGGAGAGGTTTTGGACCTGGAGCATCATTTTCAGATCCCCTGAGTATTGATGAGCTGCAGACAACAGGAGCAGCAGTGACTGCAAGGCACTGAAAAGGTAATTTGTAAATAAGTGTTTTAAAAGAAAAGCATGTGGAGGATAAATAAAGTCAGTGCATCCTACAAAGCCCCTTTAAATCCACAAAAAGTCCCCTTGACTGCAGTTAGCTTTACAGCAGCCCTGAAGGGAGACAGAATGAGATTCCATCTGTATTTAAAAGAGGAGGGAAGTTATTTAACAAGGTACAAATATAGGTACAGAGGGTGAAATAAAACCAGCAGCACCTGGCAGTGACAAACATAAAATTTACTCATGTTTTGGCATCATGTCTCCAGGAAGAGGAAGACCCATGTTTTTACAATGGTTCTAATTTGATGTAATTTAGCTCTGAGAAGTGTACAGCAATCAGGCACAATAGGTGGTGGAAGGTGGGATTAGGAAATTCAATGCAGTTATTGGATTTGTGTCTTGAATGTGCTGTTGGGTTTTTCCTGTGTGGTTCTGAGGGCAAACAGAATTTTTCAGGCTCAGAAGTGGTTTCTGTACAGACATTTATGCACACATTTTTCCTCCCTGCTAGCATCTCCCTACAGCAAATGGGGACTGAGAGGTTTTAAAGTCTGATGTCTTCAAACAATTTTGTCAACAAGCAGCTGGGATTTGTTTACATTTTAAAGACAGTCTGTTTAGTTAAATTGCCAAGTGTTACAAGTGTTGTGGTTATGGCAATTCCTCCGGTCAGGATCAGAAATACAAAGTGCAATAATGTATATTATTCAGAAGGTTATGTTACTGAGGAGAACCCACCCTGCAGTCAGTGGAAAGACTTTATCTTTCAAGGGCTTAAGAGGAAACACGTACTGATCCAATAACTACATGCAAAATATATATTTATTTGCAGTCAAACTTCATTTTTTGTGCTGCAAATTGCAAATCAAACACTTGTGCTGGTTTGATGGGTATTTTACATTACTTGGTGCAGACACAAGTGCTACTAAAGCCTTTCTGCTGGACTTTGTCACTTCCTCAGCATTTTTGATATTTGTGAGAAGCTCTTGTAAAGATATTTTGCAGCAAATTTTCCCAGTGGAATGGAAGAATTTCAGGGCTGACAGTGAAAATCATTGGTCTGCACAGTTTTGATCCAGAATCAGACACAAGTATTTCACTGGGGTGATTCCAAAGGCTTTGCTGGAATCCTTCTGATTTACACCCATATGAGATCAGCATTAGGCCCCAGTGTTTTCATTTTTCATTTGTTATTTTTGGCCCTAGTGTCCTTTACCACTGTTGAATACAATGTTCCTAAAACACCAGATGTGCTTGTGAGATGAGGGAATGTGGCAAAAAAAAAAAAAAGATTGCAGTGATTCACTAAACAACACATGATCTTCTTTTGCCCTGTGGTCTGAATCCTGGGCTTTTACATGAGCATAACTGCATTTATTTCTACAAGACTGTTTCTGATTACCATTGGGAAATGAAGTTGTAAAATCCTCCCTGGCCTAAGCACTTAACAGGATCATTGCATCATGCTCAGTATTAGCTTGTACAATGACTGATGCTTAGCATTATTTTGTAAAAATTCTGGATTTCAGATCACTCTGACAATATTTCAATCACCATATTAATGACTGGTTTGAAAGCTTTATGGGGTTTGGTGCTCTTTCATTACTTGCACTAATCAAATTAGGTGCTTGGAGATCTTAAGTAATATAGTTATTACACACAGCTCAGTTACCAGTTATCACACAGTTTATACCAGTTAAAACTGGTGGGAGATCCAAATCTGGCCCAGGACCAGATTCCTTTGATGTGGTCGGAAGAACAGGTTCAAATCTGCGGCATGCTGGCCACTCCAGCCTCAGACAGCAGAGCATTAAACAAAGTGCTGAGCTTCAGCTGAATGAGTAATGTGACCAAAGAACCCATCTGCTCCTCAGCCTGCGCAGCCAAGCCCTGGGAGCTCAGGAAAGCTGGGATCACCTGCATTATTCTGTGCTTGAGTGTTTGGCTGCTGCAGCCAACCACTCACAAAGTCATCTGCTTCCAAGGTCTGATTATGGAAGTTACGGAGAATTGTTTTCTCATGCAGGCCGCAACAGTAAATTTTGTACTTTGGAGTAATGTTTTGTTCTCTGTTATACTGCAATATATTTGGAGCAGGGCACTTGGAGTCAGAAATTCACCTCAAATTAATGCTGGTACAAAAGATGCCAGCATCTCCTCCAGTGAATCTCCTTCTGCTGCACCTGCTAAATCACACTGAAACCCAGCAATGGGAGCAAGGTCAAACCTTTCCTGTGTGTGCATGAATAAAAGCATTGGTGTGTCTGAGTGTGTCCATCCCAGCTGAGCATCAAGCAGGGGCTGCCAAGACAGAGGAGAGGAGGAAAAGGTGCTGTGCTTGATCCCAGCCCTGCTTGGATTGCCAGGGCTCCATAATTGACTCATCCTCTGGCAGAAAGCAGAGCCCTTGTGGTAGACACCAACTGGTGGGATTACATCTGCACAGTCATCCATTATGTCTGTTTCTATGGGCACAAGTTCTTCTTACAGGGTACTCAAAATGCAGGCAGGGTCAGTCCTTTTTCTCCTAAAAAATATTAGAGAATAGTGTTGGCACCATTTTCCCCTGAGCCAATCTCCAACATGTTATTTAGCAGGCAATGCTTTGTACGATTTAAAGTAAAATGAGGGATTTGGCTAATTGTGTCAGGAAAATTCTGCATCATTTTCTTGGTAAATTTTTTTATTTACATCTGTCCAAAACTTATTAAGAGCATGATATTCAGTACTTTATGCTTAGATCCCTTGTGTAATACTTGCTCTCTGCCTGTCTCTCATCCCAGGGGTGTCTGCATTGCAATGATGAGCAAAGTGCTCTCTGTGGCTGCAGTAAATAATCAGGTGGTGAACAGCTTTAGGCGCTTGGAGATCTTTGACCAGAGGATGCAGCATAAAGTCAGCTGCTCCTTGGCAGGAGTAGGTGGGGGCACTGGATGATGGGTAAAGTGAGAAGGCCAGGTGTATTGACAATCTAACAACATAAGCTGAAGATTTACAGTGATTTACTCACTCTTTCTCCTCTTTTCGTATTCAATTTTGTAGGGTCACAACAGAAATTACATTACTACATACATAAGTTAAAGGTGTTAAAGTCATTAAAAATAATCTCTATGGACTGAAAAATACTTCCTATTTTCACTTTCTTACCCAGTGCATTTCACCTGTGATGTGAGGGTTTAGTTCAAGGAATGAGACACCACATCTTATCTATGTTCATGCTTAAAAAATCCCACTACTGTGATGTTTTTGTGACACAGATTGTTTTGACAGATGACCAAATACTTCTCCTCCAGAAGTGCTAAGGGCTTGATCAAAACACACTGAAAGTAATGGAAACAATTACTGCAAGATAGCCCCAGAACTTTGCTTGTGCCATTTCAAATGTCTGCTCTTTATGCTGTAAATCCTCCATTCCAGCAGGTTAATTATGTGTCAGTATTCAGTATTCCTTTATGAAGTGATTGGGATGCTCCTCAAAGCAGTAAGCAAAGGCAAAATAAATATATGTTATTTTTCAGTCCACCATCCCATGCTTAGGTTTAAGTGAATTTCATGCCTGGAAAAGTGTCAGGTTGATGGCCCAGGCTCCTTTCATCTGCAAACACTTACTCCAGCAGCAGAACAAAAGCCTTCTCCACACTGATCCCTGACAGCACATCTTCAAACTGCAGAGACTTCAAATGGCAGGCCCTTTGAGTCCTTGATCTGTCTGGCAGCCTCTGCAACAAAGGGGCAAATCTGTGATGGGGCTTTTTATGGCACACATCTCTAGCAGAAAAACTCGACTGGGAGTCTCAAATTGTCTCAGAGATCACTGCTGCCTAATATTATTATGCACTGCTGTTCTAAAAATAGTTCTGATTAGATTGTGATAGATAAAACCCCACAGAAATGGCTTAGAATGCTAACAGTTTATTTTGGAATAAACAGAATTTTTTCCTAGTGAAATCTATCATTATGCTAGAAAAAAAAATTCCTCCCACAGGAATTTTTTTTTTCTGTGCCTACTATCTAATATGAAGAGTGGTTTAGTTTGTTATAATTTTTACTCAAAAAACCCCATGCAGTGGAAGCCAAGAAATATGTTAACAAAAGCATTTCTCACAAACTTCTCCAAACTTGTGTAAATGCTGACTAGGCTACCAAATCACACCAGGCATCTGTGGCTGCCCATCATGTTGGAATACAAGTTTACCTTGATCCAAGGCAGAAGAAAATCCCAGTCTTTCCCAGTATATAATCCATAGCAAATTGAAAGCATACTGGTGATTATGAGTTAGCATGAAAATGCATCCATCTTGCTTTTGGATGCCTGAAATAGGATTCCAAAATCAACAATTTATGAGTAACTAACTTCTCCTGACTCACTTGGGGTTTTTTTTCTTCTCATCGTAGTAGAATTACAGTTTGAAGAATAGTTCTTCTAAAAGTGGTAGAGAAAGGAATTTTTCCTGTCAGACAGCACCTGGCCATCTGAATGAAAACAGCATCCTTGGAAACTGGTATTTTATCCAGGTCACCTGCAGACAGAGGCTCTGAGCCTGCACTGCCTCCTCCCCGGTTTGGAACATCACCACCAGATGTTTTCCCTCAGCACTCAGGGCTGCTGGCAGTGTGCATCCCTCAGTCAGGAAGGTGAAAATGGGGGAAGAAAGCAGAATAGCTTTACCAGCAGCTTGGATGGAAAGATGCTGATAGAGGAAAGTTCCTGTTCTTTACCATCACAGGACAGTCTTGCCTCCTGCCAGCTTATGATAATGAACACCAAGGGCACTTGCCTGACAGCATCTCAATTTAAGATTTTTTGCCCATAATGAATCAAAGGGTAGGACCAATTCAGCCCATCAAATATGAAAAATCCCTGTCATGCCTCTTCCCAGACAGAGGCAGCCTGTTGGATACCCTAGAGGATGGGCTGCCTTTGTGCTGGGCTGTGTCCGTGTGCATCCCCCTCTGAAGCACTGCATCTCCTCTCCCTTATTTGCATCTCTCATCTGGGACCCGTGCCCTTGGGCAAATTCCCAACACCTGTGCACTTGTCATCACAGAGCGGGACCAGCTGCTCCTGGCAGCCCCTGAGAGGGCCAGCACTGCCTGCTTCCAGCAGGGAAAAGGACAGCCTGTCCTTCTGCCAGCCCCTCCTCAACCTCACCTTTCAGAGCACACAGGGGTGGGGACCTTGCCACCAGCAGCACTGGGACATGGAGCATCTGTGTCACCATGAGCTGTGTGCGCCTCACATAGTGTGCACCAGGGTGTGACAGCAGTCGGCTTTTCTTTGGAAGCAATGGGAAGAAAAAGAGAAATTCCACTCACATCACAAGGTTTTATTTTCAGGGGTTTTTTAGCCATGCCTTACTGTATCTGTCTGAGGTTTTGTTCTAGCAAAACAGAGATCCAAAGGATGATAAAACAATGAGAAAACGGAACCACAGAAATGTAAGGAAGCAATATAGAGCAAAACTGAAAAAACAAATCATGTTTTTACACTTACAAATTCCCTCTCAGACTAACAGCTAGCCAGGAGTACTTTCAAGGAATAGGCAGAAAGCAATTAAATTAATTGCTATGACCCACAAGTACACATCATGTTGTAATTGATAGGTGACTAAAAACTGGCAAACAGCACGAGGACAGCCCAATTTTCCAAGGAAGGGATATAGTAGCCAGGCCTTTGATTTTAAAAATGCTTTTTATGAGTTCTCTACCCTGTGAGCTGCATGGATTTACTTCAGAGGGTTACACGAGCCTGAAAGCCTTTGAGCTTTGAACTGTCTGTACCAGAGTTCTGAAAACTTCTGATTGTTTCAAACATCCATTTTGTTTGAAATGTTTTGTATATTTTAACTGGTTCATACCTCTATAAAATTACTACTCTTTCCTCAGTTCTTTCAGTACAATTTAGGAGCAACTCCACAGAAGTCAGTGGTGCTTGTTGTAAAACCTGCCTCACTGAAACACTGTTTTTTTTAAAAAAAAAAAGTTGTTTTTCCAGCAGCATTGGTATTTCCTCCTCCTCCCCAAACCACCTCACCTTTTTCCAGTCATCTATTCTTTGGACTATTATTGTAAGTACACCAGTAACAATATTGATGTAAGTTCAGTCCAAAGCGCTTAAAATCATAGAAAACCACGGGCAAAGGCTCTGGCTCCTTCTTTGTGCTCCACGAGGAACTGTGAGCACAAAAACTGATAGCTGATAATGAGCAACCCTATGGAGAGGGATGCTGGAACACTGAGCTGTTTTTGCAGGCTGATCCAAAGTATAAGGAAGTTAATGAATGGCTTTATACTTCGGGCTCCAAGATGATGGGCTGGTGTCAGGTTTTAAGGGGATGGATAATAAGTTAATTGTTCTGAAGAGATAACAGCAATTTGCAGCTGGATGGGTATAATAGGGCATTCATTCTAGAATGTGTTTTACGTGCAGTAAAGCTTTATTCTTTTTTTTTTACTCTTTATAAAGATTTTTACCAAGGAATTGAATACAAGAGAAAATTAATAATTTTGAAAGAGCTGAATTTCTTAACTGGGATATCCTACCTGCACACCTGACAGCAAATTCATCAGCTGATTGAAAGAGTAGCTATACTCCAAATGGTTTCAGGATGTACTGTGGAGCATTGTGTGCTGCAAAATTATCTACAAAGATAAACACAAATTTAATCAGAATGAGGAAAGATCCCTATTTTAATAAGAAGGATCTATGGCCATTGTATTTGTAAAATATAGAACAACTGAAAAAGAAGGTAATTTGATAGCCTTATGGAAATAAGAGGCTCAGATATTTGAGTCATTTCTGAAGCCAGAATGGCAAGCCTGAGCCCTGGCACCGGCTGCAGCCTGAGCTCCCCTGCAGGCAGCCAAAAGGGATCTCCAGCTGCAAGGCCAAGAGTCCAAGATAACAATCTCTTGGAAATGTTTGTGCCAAGAAGTGTGGCTCCATTACTGCTCTCCCACTAATGCAAAGGATAATAGAATCAGAAAGAAGCAGGTCTGGAAGGGGCCTCAGTAAGTCCTTTAATTGGTTTCCTGCCCAAAGGCAGAATGAACTGTACTTATGCTATTTCTGGTAAATGTGAGTCTAACCTGTTCTCAAAGGTCTCCTCTGATGGAGGCCTTGCAGGCTCAGGGCAGAGGGCAGGTGGTGATGATACCCAAGGTGGGAAGGCAGGATGGAAAGGCAGACAGAGGTGGAGAACCAGTTAACCAGGAGGAGCTGGGTGCCAGAGCAAGGGAACGTAATAAAAAGAAGCAAAAAAGGGGAAAAATCTCAGCTATAACATCTATAAGAAAAATGTAAAGAATGTGGAGCATAGGACACAAAAGCCAGAGCAAGGCTGTTTGTCAGGAATTAATTGAGGAAACATGGATTTCATACAAGAGGGAGTTAGGTAAGAGGAGGACAACTTGTGCAGCAGGAAAAGTGGACTAGTGCTGGAATCCTCACACATTTTATTATTTGAGTTTTTTAAATAATGTTATTCCTCTTGTTACTTAGCCAGTGATCCCATGAACATTCATGGAATTGTTACCTTGAATTCTCTGCAGACACCCAGAGCACAGTTCCTGAATTGCTGTGAACCAGAGGGGATTGCAGTGCCTGCTATATCCATGTATAAGGGTCTCATTGTCAGCACTGAAGTGTTTCCATAGAAAGGTGAGAGCACATTATAGTCAAGTGTGAAAGCCTAGCTAGAGACATAAAGTTCTTTTCTGAACATCTGTCAAACAATGCTGCTGCTGAGAAGCTGCTAGACCATTAGGGAGAACTTCCTTCTAAGATAAAATATTTGATATATACATTTTCACCAGCAATTTGCATCTGAAAGTAGCAGACCAGAGCCAGATGAGGAGAGGAATGTAGAGAAAGGAGGAGAAAATGGAGGCTGAGCATTTCATTTGATATAAATTAACTTGCTATCTGTAGTAGATTACATGACATTCTCTATGACAGGCTGGAGACAAGTTGCAGAGGGCCATCCTCAGGACATTGTTGAGGTGCTGAATACTTGTACAGTTCTAATTTGGATCAGCCAGCACATTTAGGAGAGGAGAACAGGTGTCATTCTAGAGCAGAGGTTAAACAGGGTGTCTGGTCAAGATCCCTTTTGGTCTGTAAGGCCACGTATCCCAGAAATATCCACAATAGGTGACCCCATTCTCAGTCTACACCTGCAATGGAAATTTCCTCAGAAGAGCAAGTGCTGCTTCAGACACTTGCATCCCACCTAAGCAGAGCCTAGGTGGCTCTGAGGAGCCATATGGCCTTTGTTAGCATAGGAGGCAGATGGAATAGGGAAGAGATTAAAGCTCCATAAAAAGAATTGGAGTTGCAGCACGCAGTATGTGGCTATTCATTATCACCAGACATATTGTCTTGACACTGATTGCAAACAGGGGTGAAAATCTCTACCAGGTAGGATAAATTAAACAGGTTTTACTTAGTAATATGCTTTTCAAGTCAGCAGAAATGGAAGCTACATTTACATTTTAGAGAAACCTTCTCTAAGTCCCTTGTCTTAAAGGGACTGCAGCATTATCTGTGCAGAACTGAAATGCATTAGAGCTGCCCCAGGTGTTAGCAATGAGAGAAGCTTGATAACAATGCTTATCTTGCTTCCAAGTAAAGAACAGTACCATGCTACATCATCAGCTGTAGACCAAATCCCAGATTCCTTCATGGAGTAATGCTTGAGCCTGGAGTGACCCTGAGGAGCCCTGAGTAAGAAAGGAGGCTCTGTAATATCCCTGTGAGGGACTGGCTGTCTCACATGTAAGGGGCTCCCTATAACAGAGCTGTGCTCTGCACAGACAGGATAATACTGGTGTCTTTGTGCAGGTGGGTTGTGCTACAGAAAGTCAACATCTGGCTCAGGTGTCAGGTGTTGAATACATTCAATGAGTGCAGCAGAATGACATGATTACTCAGGAGAATATTGCTGAAATAATAAAAAGCTTCAGCAATGAGACAGGAACTCTAATAACTCTGATGCAAGTACTGCTTTCCTGCCTCTTTTCTGTACAACACTGAAATGTCACAGCATGTTGGCCAGCAGGCAGGTACACCACCACAGCTCGAGACCTTCTGTCCCTGCCTTTCCTAGAAAGTTTTAAATTAAATAGCTGAAAAGCATAGTTCTGGATTGTCCTGGCATGAAAACAGATTTAGTGGTCATTGTGGCCACCACAAACAAGGGGTTACCTGTTTGCAGAGCAGCCAGGGCAAGCCTGCAGTCCCTGCTGGTGAAACCCTGCCTGGATTCCACTCACATGACTTCACTTGTGAGACAACTCATGGTTGCATGTGTTGCTCCGAGGCCAAGTTTGAGGCAAGAGATTCCTTGTGTGTCTCCAGTGTTATTTTGGTATATTTTATTTGGCTCAGGATTTGGGAAAACAAAGGGGAGGTTTTCCGTGGGGAGTGGAACGAGGAGGCAGGAAGGGCTACCATATTTCTCCAGACGGAAACTCCTACAGCGCTCGAGTCCAGCACTGCTGCAAGTGTCAACAGATCAAATGTGATACAGGAGGCCCTCTGCCAACTCTTTGCTACTGCAGCAGCAAACTGGGAAGAAAGCAGGAGCTAATATCCAGCACCACTGAGTGAGGTTCAGTCCCTGCTGCACAAGGATGGAGCAGGAAGAAATGAGAAACCACCTTGTCCTTGCTGCAGTGTGACATCGGCTTGCCCAGGGCCCCAGCAGGACAGGGCTGACCCACAGAGGCTCACAGCCAGGCTCTCCATGCCATCTGCTGAGTCAGGCATGCTGGCACGGGCAGCATCTTAATGTGTGCACTTCTTCTCCCGGCTGCTGCCTCCCAAGGAAGACCCCAAAAATGAAGGTGCCTCCACACACAAACTGTGCCCCCTCCACAAACTGTGCCCCCTCGGTGCCAGTGGGTGTGATTCAGACCAATAGCTGCTGAGGGCAACAGATTGAGCAGTAATTAG